TCCAGAAGTGGATTTGTCATGAAGATTAATCCTGAAAAATCTGCCTTCACCTCTTTCACACCCTGTTAATGTCTAACCAAAACAAATCACAAACAGACTAGTACAACCACTTAGCTGTTAGACCAAAAGTAGGGGTTGACTCCCTATGCTTGTGCACAACTTTTGAATAAATCATTAGTTTATAATTTAAACTTTAGTCCATAGAGATGTCATGGAATTCTGACCTTGAGTGAGACTTTGCATTCATAAAGCAGGATATTAATTGTACTCGTTTAAATAAATGAATTTTTTTTTTCAACGTTTATTTATTTTTTTGAGTAGACAGAGAGCATGAACGGCGGGGGGGGGGTGAGAGAGGGAATAGGGCCTGCAATTTTGTTTATTCTGGTCGGGGTTTCAACCCACTAGGACCGGTGAGAGAGATCTGTTGAAGTCGATCGCTAACCTGATCATGCCACCCATGCTCTTAAATAAATGAATTTGAAAAAATTTTTAACGTTTATTTATTTTTGAGACAGAGAGAGACAGAGCATGAACGGGGGAGGGTCAGAGAAAGGTAGAGGGAGCGGTCAGAACAGGCTCCAGGCTCTGAGCAGTCAGCACAGAGCCCACCTGGGTCAAATCCTCACTTTGATCGGCATATTCCTGAGCTTAGAAGTCGACGCTAACCGACTGAGCCACCCAGGCGCCCCTAAATAAATGAATTTTTAAATGAATTTACTTATAACATATAACTTGTATAATTCCTCACTTGTTAAATAAATACTGCAGATGATTTAATGTAAATGTTAAACTAATGTACAGTATTTCTCATTTCAATTCTATGATTTATTTTCTGAACATTGTTGAAATATAAATGAATATGAAACATGTAAAACATGATTACTGTATTTTTATTATATATTCTGTTTCTTGAAGCAAGAAAAAAAACACTAGAAAAAATTTTCCACTATTAAATAGCTAGATTATTTTCTGCTTCCGACTTTTCTGAGTACATGGGGTCCAAAGATTCAGCTATTCCCATGATACTTAAATAAGTCTTTGGTATTTATATTTTCAAACAGACTATAATTAAGAGTTTACAGTCACGTAGGGACGGCTGGTTGGCTCAGTCGGTAGAGTGTGTGACTCAATCTCAGGGTTGTGAGTTTGAGCCCCATGTTGGGTTAGAGATTTTTTAAAAGTTATAGCCACATAATAGAGTCCCACGGTCAAATCATATCATCATAAAATATTTTTTAATGAAGTTTAAAAAATGACGAAAAGTCCAATCTGTCATTTACTCCTATTGCAGACTGAATTCAAGCTTAGTTTCAAATGCTTGGAGGGAAGATGCTTGTGGTAGACCCTCATTCCTTCCACAGTTTCCCCTGAGATACAACTCTGCTTCACATTGTCATCTCACACAAAATGTTTATGTGTCCTTATAAGGACATAGATTATCTATTTATACACAATATTTAAATTCTGTACTGGTCAGGGGCGCCTAAGTGGCTCATTCGGTTGAGCTTCTGACTCTTTAAAAAAAATTTTTTTTTTATGTTTAGTTATTTTTGAGAGCGAGAGAGACAGAGCATGAGTGGGAGAGAGGCAGAGAAAGAGGGAGACACAGAATCTGAAGCAGCCTCCAGGTTCTGAGCTGTCAGTGCAGAGCCTGATGTGGGGCTAGATCCCATGGACCGGGAGATCATGACCTGAGCCAAAGTCAGCCACTTAACTGACTGAGCCACCCAGGTGGCCCGAACTTCTGACTCTTGATATCAGCTCAGGTCATGATCCCAGGGTCATGGGGTCATGCTCAGTGCAGAGTCTGCTTCAGATTCTCTCTCTATTCCCTCTGCCCCTCTCCTCCTGACAAATAAAAAGTAAAAGAAATAAATTTTGTACTGGTCAGAAAGGTTCATCTGATTGCTGCTTTTCAATTCGTGTGTACACAAATTACCTGTGGATCTTTCCAAAATACAGATTCTGATTCAGTAGGTCTGGAGCAAGGCTTGAAATTCTGCATTTCTAACAAGCTTCCCAGAAGTGCCAGTGCCAGTGCTGTCTCCATGCTTGGAGAAACAAGGCCTCATGTAACCCTGTCACCTGTGGGTGTGGGACTTGGTGCCATAGCAGAAAAGATAAAAAAAGGAAAAGAAGAAAGAAAGAAAGAAAGAAAGAAAGAAAGAAAGAAAGAAAGAAAGAGAAAGAGAGAAAGAAAGAAAAGAAAGAAAGAGAGAGAGAGAGAGAGAAAGAAAAAGAAAGAAAGAAAGAAAGAAAGAAAGAAAGAAAGAAAGAAAGAAAGAAAGAAAGAAAAAGAAAGGGGAAGGAAGGAAGGAAGGAAGGAAGGAAGGAAGGAAGGAAGGAAAGAAAGAAAGAAAACTTTTCTTGGATGAGGTGAAAATTAAGTCATCATGCTACCCAATTTCTGATATAAATGCTTCATGGAAATTTTTTATGACTAAGGAAGAGGGTGAAGTTTCATTAGAAATGAACATTAACTTTTTTGAGTGTGCAGGGAAGTGACAGAGAGAGGGAGAGAATGAAAATCTCAAGCAGGCTCCCCACATGGTGACATTATGACCTGAGCTAAAATCAAGAGTCTGATGCTTAACCAACCGAGCCACCCAGGCACCCCTGAACATTAACATGTTTTATGACGCAGATTATGGGTGAAACTCCTTATAGGGAATTCCATTCATGAGGACAAGCTCTTTTCAACAAGGCTGTAAAGCTGTTTCTGCATTCCATAACTCAGTCTACAGTAAGAGCCCTTGATTAGTCTGTTTACAATGAATAATTCTCTACAACTCTATACACCAGCTGTTTTCTTTGGTCTTTGTCCTTGTAGCAATAATAAAAGGAAACTAATTTGTATTGTTTGAACTCAAGGCAGGGAGCAAGCTGCCTTCTATTTCTTCTGCCTCAACCTCAAACAATTATCTCTGTCTTCGTTTCTCCTCATTATATTCCTTTTTTGATATCTCATATTCTTACATTTAAAAAATATTAATGAAAAGAAAACAACACAAAGACCCTGGAACCGTGAGGAAGAAATGGGTGTACATACATAGACTGTGCCCATCACCTCCCTTCTTTTCTTCCTCAGGGAAAAGTACTTTTTCTTAGGAACTATGGAGAGTTTGGCCTTTTGGCTTTTCTCTTTCTTTAAAATTCTGCCCTGTTCTGGGGTGCCTGGGTGGCTCAGTGGGTTAAGCGTCGACTTCAGCTCAGGTCATGATCTCACAGTTCATGAGTTTAGCCCCGCATAGGGCTCTGTGCTGGCAGCTCAGAGCCTGGAGCCTGCTTGGGTTTCTGTGTCTCCCTCTCTCTCTGCCCCCACCCCCGCTCAGGCTCTGTCTCTCTCTCTCAAAAATAAATACTAAATTTTTTTTTTAATTTTGCCATTTTTTACCTCCAAGTTCTTTAGAAAGTGTTTTATTTATATAGTCAATATGATGCCAAACACAGATATAATCGAAACCAGCGAAGCATAGGAAAGAAGAGGGAGAAGGTGGCAGCAGTGTCCATACTGATATTCAAAAGTGAGGGAGAGCGAGTAAATGATAGAACAGAAGGGTTGAGCTTCGAAGAGGACAAAGTCCTTGGCAACTTTGATGCCTGAGTGTAGGACATTGCAAGGGAGCTGCGCATAGGAAAGCTTAATGTCAGAGGGATTTATTGGAATTTATTTAATCTATTGGGGATTTGTTGCCTATAAACTTATCTACACCTTTTTTTAAAACGTTTTTTAAGTTTATTTATTTTGAGAGAGAGAGAGCGAGTTTGTGAGGGGGGGACAGAGAGAAAGAGAGAATCCCAAACAGACTCCACACCATCAGCATAAGCCTGACTCAGGGCTCCAACCCATGAACCACAAGGTCATGACCTGAGCCAAATCAAGAGTCCGCGGACTGAGCCACCAAGGCACCCCTATCTAAACTATTTTTATTTTTTTTTTTACATTTATTTATTTTTGAGACAGAGAGAGACAGAGCATGAACAGGGGAGGGGCAGAGAGAGAGGGGGACACAGAATGGGAAGCAGGCTCCAGGCTCTGAGCCATCAGCCCAGAGCCTGACGCGGGGCTCGAACTCACGGACCGCGAGATCGTGACCTGAGCTGAAGTCGGACGCTTAACCGACTGAGCCACCCAGGCGCCCCTAAACTATTTTTTAATTAGAACATTTCTTCAGCTCACATGGACGTTTTAAGTTTTAATCTCCTGGGGAAATCTTTCACTATACCCTCCCCATCAGCCATGGCTGATTATGTCTACCTCTGGGTCATACAAATGTACCGTGCATACATGCAAAGTATTACATTCACCACCCTGTCCTGTAAGGATTTAAGTGTCTAACTCTCTTAGGAGCCTGAGGATAGAGACTATTCCTACTCAGTTTAATACCTATGGAGTCGAGCACGATGCCTTGGCATGTTGCAGGTAACTCTACAAACCTTTCTTGCATAAATACCACATTGATAGATGACCGTTTACCACTCATCGTATAGTTGGACCTTTTTCCTACAACTAAAGTTACAAAACTTTTTTCACAGACGATGTGTTTAAAAAATGACATTCAAGTTGTAAAATAAGAGTGTCATTTAGTTCTGTTAAGCTGAACGACTATAAGCTCCACCAGAACGGTACACACGCACCAGAGCGTCTCTGGAAGGGGCAGGACGGCAAACCACCGAGATGGGTCTCACTCCTCCTGGGCGCCTAGAGAGGCTCCGGAAATGCCCGGGAGGGGTGGGCACCGCAGGGAGTCGGTGACGCACTTCCGGCAAGGCTTTATTCGTACTTTTGGTCACCTGGCGCCGCGCGTCGTGGTTGGACTAACTGCGGGTAGGAGTAGTACCGGAGGGGGCCGGGCCGGATAGGGCCCCGCTTGAGACCGGACAGTGGGGACCCGCCGCTCTGGGAAGGTCCGATGATTTCCGTGGCTTTTTGCAGGGTTTGTTGTCTTATCACTTGAAGGCAGAACTCCGGAAAAGTCAGCACGTGCTGGAGAAAGATGAGTTCGAGCGTGACCGCGAGTCAAGTCAGTGACTCCGAGGCAGGAGCCTGGATGGCAGCTGAGAAGTATAGGGTCGCCGCGCCGTCTCTGCGTGATGGACTTTTGATAGTGAAAGTGGAGGAAGACTCACCCGGAGGTCAGGAGTCGGACCTGCCCGCGGACTGCCAGGATTCCGAAAAGTCGCGGCAGCAGTTTAGGCGGTTCCGTTACCAGGAGGTGGCTGGACCCGAAGAGGCGCTAAGCCGGCTCAGGGAACTTTGTCGCCGGTGGCTGAGGCCTGAGATGCATACGAAGGAGCAGATCCTGGAGCTGCTGGTGCTGGAGCAGTTCCTGAGCATCCTGCCCCAGGAGCTCCAGGCCTGGGTGCGGAAGCACTGCCCGCAGAGCGGGGAGAAAGCTGCGGCCGTGGTGCGCGCTTTTCAGAGAGCGCTTGATGGGGCCTCACCCCAGGTGAAGAGTGAAAGTGTTCTGGTGGTAGGGGTGTGAGGAATAGAGGTACACGGGGTGCTAAGGGTTTCAGGCCTTTTTTCCTTGCTACATTTTTGAGCTTCAGGGTGTACATGAAACTTTCTTTCTGTAGTGACAAATAAATCTATCCAGGAAATGATCTTTGAGTTAATAGACTTCTGAGCACAAAACCAACGTGGGAAGGGAAAGTAGATTTTACTGAGCATCCGCTGTCAGGGAGGTACCTTCATCTTCTTAAATTTATGTCCATTTCACGCACGAGGTAACCGTATCTCACAGCCAGCACTGGAATTTGGCACTTTCTGGTTACCTGTACATTTTTAATCTGTATCCGATTTCCATTTTGATAAATCACAGTGATATAACTCAAATGAAGATTTTGCTCTTACCCCAAATTAGTGTGGATAGTCCACGGAAAGAAAGGCTTTCCAGGATTGCAAGAGAATTTCAGCCTCTGTCTTTGTTACTCTGAAACTCCAGTTAGTACAACACTCACTGGAACAGACTCGACAGCCATGGTTATTACTTGATTCCCAGGGCTTCCTGCTCAGGGTTTGCAGACTCCTCCGGAGTCTGGCCTCATCCTGAGATTAACAGTCACTTATGCTGTCCTGGGACACCAGGTGCTGAGTGGAGGTCTCGTGTTGTTTCAGGAGTTGGTGAAGATTGAGAATGTGGCTGTGTCTCTAAACTGTGAGGAGTGGGAGCCTCTGGACCCAGCTCCGAGGGAGTTCTGCTGGGAAGGCGCACAGGAGGATCATAGGACCTCGGTCTCACTGGTCTCGCCGAGTAAGTGCTGGCTTTGTTTCTAGCTGTGTGTGATCTGTCTCTGAGCCAGTCACACACCCATGTTGAGAGCCATGGAGTCTCTTTTGTCACCCCACTGGGACCTTGCTGTTCTGTATTGTTAGGTGAGAGATTCAGCTTTTTATTTTGGTTCATTTTAAATAAAATGCATACAGAAAAATATAAAAAATATAACAGGCACCTTATATCTACCACCCAGGTTTATCATATTTTAATATTTGGCCCTAATGGCTTC